TTGTTGCTTTTTTCCACACTTTCTTTTGTTAAGCCAACTACAAATACAACCCAAGTAGCTATCACTTCTATCATTTTTTCAGAATTATTGTTGCTTTTCCACAATAGGAGTCTGAGTCTCCGATTTTTATAATTTTGAGTGAATTTAAATCTCTTTCATATCGTAATGGTTTCGATTTTTCTTCCACAAAATACAATTTCAAAATGTTGTGTTGTGAATTATTTAACTAGTTTTTAAGTTTTCTCTAATCTATTTTTCCCACATGAAGTATCGATAGTGTAGAGTGAAAAGTTGCTTAGTCCACTTTTGGATCATTTTGTTGCTCAAACTAAAATATCTGGCCTCAATTCTGGGTCGATTTTTGTTTACGTTAAAACCTAAAACTAAATTCTTTAAATTGTAATTAAAATAATGAACAAAAGAAAATTTTTTGCATAGATACTTTTAACGCGGTCCAGTTTATGAATGTCTCTTAAATGAGGCGAAATACTTTGCAGTCATAAAATAGGCAAAATTTTATGATTCGCTTGGGGAAAACAGTGAATTTTTTGTTGAGCCAAAATAAATAGAAATTTTGGTCACCTAACGTGCTTACGTATGTACATACCGCCGTTTGTATATTTACATACATGCATGTATAGTATATGTATATATTATATACATCCAATATTTATAAGCGCATAGGCATTTTTATTTTTACGAAGTAATTTATTAAACACAGCGACCATTTTTAGAAGCTATCAGCAATGCCAATTGTATATAAATACTCTCATTGACATAACACAAACTTATCTATATATATACTTATTCCTGCGTATACTATGTAATTCGACTGTCAAATACCATAAGCAAAATATGTACATAGATACATATTTCACCAGTCATAAAAGTATGTTTACAAATGCAACAAATAGCAAAGCACTATATCACAGACGCATTGTAATGCATCAGTTGAAGACTTTTATTACAAGAAATTCTCAAAAATAACCAAATGCGGACACATGCACATAAATCTAAAAGAAAGAGCTAAATTTTCGGCGCTGCACTAATTTTGGTGAATAGCACACGAATCACAATACATACTTATGTACATATGTATACATACTTACATATATCGTATAATAGTGTAAATATGCATTAGGAGCAGGCGAGGCGTGAAGTTCGGCTAATAAACATTTGTTTTGTAAACATTGTTGGTTGCACGCCTGCGAATTTGTTTATAATAAAACAAGTGAATTTTGGAAAATTTTTAAATAGTGTTTCGAGTGTTTGAAATAAAATAACTTGTAAAAATACATCAAAATTCCAGAAGTAATAAATAGCAAAATAAATAAAATTGGAGTTTATTTTTTTTTAGCAAAAGTTCTTCAAGATTATGTATTGATGTAAGAATTTTCAATACTGCTTGTCCAACTGATGTCCAGGCTTTCGGTTTTTCCGTTTCCATCCAAAACTAATTTGACAAAAGATATCGGAAACTGGTTCCGCCATACATTGCCTTCTCAGTATGTCTGAAGAAATAACAATAGCAACAAATCTTCGAAAGCTTCTCAAATAAAGGACGAAATAAGAGTGGCATATAAAATTTTCTTAATAGTGGAAACTGATGGGAAGAAAAACGCTTTTTTTCGGAATGCACAATGGTTCCATGTTGGAGCATCGGTCAAAAATCGTTTTCTCTGAAAATAAGTTAGATGAAACTTACACTTGTTACCCTTTGTCCGGGCTGGGGCGATAATGAATAAGTTAATACTAACTAGTAAGGAAATAAAAGTTCGGCGCCGATATCCAATTCCGAGATATACATTTGTGGTCATAAGTGGGCGGCGCTATGGCCAAAATCTAAGAATGTATAACTATATGATTTTCTGATAAGTGTTTATTGCAATCCCTGATTTTGAGTCAATTAGCTTCAGTAGTTACTGATTTATCGCAGTTTTATGGGAGGTGGAAGAGGAGAATAAATTTCTTAGCTGGACCCTGGGCAAGACTCATATCGAGTTTGGTAAGAATTGGTAAAGCGGCTACTGAGATAAAGCAGTCCATCATAAGTGGGCGGGAACCACGCCCATTTTCCAACAATTTCATTCAAATATTATTTTGTACTAAAATTTTAACTCACATGCTAATTTTCAACGACAATTTTGACCCAATATTTACAGAAATATTGGAGTTTTTGCATTTTCCGAAAATACCGTTATATGGGAAGTGGGTTTGGTTACAGTTCGATTTCGCCTATTTTCAACACCAACCTACCTTAATTAGTAAAATTCTTGGCAACCATCGAAGTACCGTAGAGTGCCCAAAGTTATAGACTAGCACTAAATCCGTACGTAAATTGATAAACATCTATGAGAGCTACAAATAAAGTATGTACAACACATCCTGCAAATTATTATTGAGTTCCATTTTTTTCACTTAAAAATAATGATCGTTCAAAAAATCAAAAGCTATACCAGCGCGATTTTCGCCGCATCTTTTTCAGAGGTAGCGACATCCGAACAAAGGAATAAGCCTCAAAATTTTCAGGTCAAAATTTCAGTAAGTTGCTTTTGTATAGCCCTTTCAATTTTATGAATAATCATTATTTTTAAAGGGAAAAAATAAAACTCAATGGTAATTATTAAGCAAAAAAATAAAAATCATAAAATAATCATTATTTGTGATCGTAAAAATAAAAATCAAATAATAATTATTTCCGCTGAGCAAAAAAAAATATAAATAATAATAATAATTATTATTTTAGAGCGAAAAAAATAAAACTCATAAAATAATGATTAAATGCAAAAAAATCATTGCGCATTTTCATTTGCACACACATTTCATTTTTATTTATCCTACGATCTTCGTCGCTAGTAGCCGGCTTTTTTCGTGAAAGGCTTTTAATATAAATGAAAGAAATGATAATTTTTTTTTATAATTTTTCATACCAACTAACAAGCATACTTATCTTCTATCTATATATATAAATGTGAATGTCTTTTTGTTTACTACCTTATAACTTTTGAACCGCGGGTTCAGGTTAGTTCTAAATATATATACATACACCCATATTGCATAGAACAGTGCCAACCGTTTTGTTTGTAATCCAAAAAAATAAATATAGTATTTACACCTTTTTTTGCATTTGCAAAAATAATTTTACGCAATTAGAAAAAGAAGTAATAAAATAGTATGTGCAACTATAAAAATAATTTATCAGTACTAGACCTTTGGCTGAAAAAGTTTTGCCAAATTTCATAAATCTGCATAATCTTTAAACTTCACAATCCGCTATTATCGGCAACCAGCTAAAAGTTTAAATTTATTCATTAAGAAGCCCTGCAGCACACATAGCAAGCACAGCAGTACATACACACATACATACATTCATTTACATACATATGTATATATGTATGTGTTTAGTTACAGATACTCGCGTGCGGCCGCAATTAAACGCCAATTCACATAAATGCTTGTCATTTGGCGCGCACTTATTTAATTTTGTGCAAATATTTCAACGCCATACAACGCTGAATAACTCATTAAATCATATTAATTTCAAACTTCGACACATAATCAGTGGCCATAATTTTAATTTCGTTGCACCACATTTTTGTTGTGGTGATAACACAAATATGAAAGCTTGGCCTTTTAACTCACAGCTATGCGCCACCGCGGCGTATGAGTAATTTATTTAAATCATTATTAATGAATACGCGGAATTCAGCAATGCAGCAGTGCGATTTCAAATTGTTATTAAACTAACGATTTCAATTCGATTGCATTTTAGTTATGCATTATACGCTCACCCTTTTTTGGAATAGTGGCAAAGGTGCTTCATATTATGGAAGCTTAATTCACGTACCTACACATGCATATTTAAGTAGGTTGTCAATGTCTGGTTAACAAAAATCGGAGGTAGAAGCTTCGGTTAACACTAGACTGATGAGTATACTCATCTATTACGTTTACGATCACAAACTTAAATTTTTTCATAGAAACTAGGAATTTGAAATAAAAATTAATTTAATTATGGCGACAAAAAAATCAATAACAAAATCTATAAAAAATATCGACAACAAAATCGATAAAAATTTCAATAACAAAACCGATCAAAATACCGATTATTATATCGATAAGTACCGAATTTGTCAAGCCATGACAAATGCAAATGCGTGTATTTTGTTTGTGTATTGCAAATAATTTGCATGTGTGTGCATGTACTTCCGTTGCACAATTTCCGTTGAACTTGCCAATTTACTCCCAACCAACCAACCAACCGCCGCACAGTGGGACAAAAAAGGTTGCTGTGGACAAATCAATTTTGATAGCCAAAATATGAACCGTTTTGAAGTTTCTTTTTTTCTAAATAAAAGATAATTAAATTTCGCGTTGATCTATCCGTGGCAATTTTTTCAAAAAGCTCTAGTTTTTTACGTTTTTATGTTGAAAAATCGAAGAAAAAGTTTTTTACGTTTGAATGCTTCCACTTTTTTGGAAAATACTTGAAATTAATTTCAAATGTCTGCAATTATTTGAAAAATTTTTCATAAATATTTTCCCATAGGATACATTTAATTGAAGGAAGCATTTCGTTTGTTATCTATACTAATTTCGGTCCGTGTGAATGAAATTACTTAAACAGGTGGCAGCCCTCCCACATGAGTATGGAATTAGTTTTATACATATACATACATATCTCCATACCAAGTTCCAGTACTCTACCACAAATACTTGCTGAGATATGGGAAAGGCCACGCCCCATGTCAAATCGAGAAAAAGTTGCAGTTGGACTAAATGACATCAGTTTGCAAAATTTCATGATGTGTATTTGAGTAGTTAAAGCGTAACGTACTCACTTTCCTATTTATAATATCAGTAAGGATTTTACTAATTAAAACCAAAAAAAAACAGACTTATTTATTTTTGCTTAGTCGTATTTCTATTTATGTGTATTAACTAAAAAAAAAATGTCCATGACTTTTTTCTTTGTATTTTTTTTTTTCTCCCCTTAACAGGAATTGGAACCATATCCGAATGTCACCTACGTATTTTGTACATTTTCGGAGAACAATACGCTCATCACCCTAAGCAACTATCAAATAATATTTTTCGCCGGCTCCTATCTGCTGCCGCTAATGGCAATCAGTGGTCTATATGTGCGTATGATTATGCGTCTTTGGCATCAGGGTAATGGCGTACAAATGTCAGTGAAATCGCAGCGTGGCCGCAAACGTGTTACACGTCTAGTTGTGGTTGTGGTTGTGGCATTCGCTTCACTTTGGCTGCCCGTACAGGTAAGTAATATTAAATACGAGCATAATTTGCATATAAAATACACACACACACACACACACACATACATTCAAATATGCACTAACATGCTTATAAAAGGCTGTCCATACATAAACAGCACGATTCTGTGCACTTGATAAATTAAAAATCTTTATAATTTGTAAATTTTTTATTATAAATATTTATAAAGAATTGGTATTCTAGAGCGGTCATCAAAAGCTCTTTTCATGATAAATTATCAAGATTGAAAATGTTATTGCGAATTGAAATTTCATGTGAATATACATAATTTTTTTTTTTTTTACTTTGCGAGTATAGCATAGCAGGTTTCTACTGGCAATCCTAAGTAAATTTCCCGAAGTTACCATGGGTCTAAAATAAATTTGTAGTTTGACAAATTGCGAAATTAAGTTTCGCAGAAATTGTGAAATTGTTCACTGCTGCGCCCTCTGGTGGAAGTTTAACGAAAAAGTGAAGTGCAAAAATGGATTCCTAATGCAACTACTACAGCAAAATGCTAAGAAACCTATTTTCACAATTTTGCAAACTCCAAATTGATTTTAGACCCATTTGGCTCCATTGGCTAATATGCTTTGAATTACGCGTAGAATCTATCTGTGCTACACGCGCATAGTCGAAAAAATCTCCGATACAAGTTGACCCGCCCTAATATATGCATTTACAGGTTTGATACATCAATAATTAATGTTATGAAATTATGCGTTTATCGACATACATACATACAAATATGCGATATAATTCAATTAAAAAGCTTATACAAGCACATATTTACAAATGTATATATATATTAGGGTGGTCCAAAACAAGTAAAGTCGGAATATTAATGCCCTCACAACTTTTGGTGGAAATAGTATGGAATTATTGAAAATCAATATTTTGCGATCGGGAAACTCTGGTTCTCTTCTGGAGATTTGCAGTAACAATGCTCAATTGTTTATTTAACTATTTTTTAAAACTAAAATATTGATTTTCAATAATTATATACCATTTCTATGAAAAGTTGTTTTTTCCTACATAAAATACATGGAAAACTTTGTGCGCTTTGGGCGACATCCAAATATTTTTTGATTTCAAAATAAAAAAATTTGGGTCCAATTTATTGGTATAAAACAATCCTAGCGGGTGCGAGCATACAAATTCCGACTTTTTCACATGCTTTTTTGGACTACCCTAGCATACATACATATGTACACATAAGTATGCATTAATATGATTTTAAAAATTAATACAAATTTAAATGTGTATAGGTACATATATTCACTTGTTACAATACATATTAAAATACGTAAACATACATACATACATATGTACGAGCATACCCGTCGCTGATGATTGCACACTGATTACTGGCAGCCCAATTCATTAAGTGTCCCTTATTTCATTATAATTCCTCATTAATCTACTTTTAATGCGCCTGTATATTTACACTACACTTCAAATTAATTCAATTTTTTATTGTCCTGCCGCCAACACCAACCAACATCATCACCACCTCCAACACCACTACATACCACTCGTCAACTGCTCATTATCCACTTCTCTTTTCTTTTTTCTACCTTTAATCAGTTGATTCTGCTGTTAAAAGCGCTCGAGGTGTATCATTCGAATACGAAAACCAAACTTTTGCTGCAAATCATCGCTCAAACGCTGGCCTACATGAGCTCGTGCATAAATCCCGTATTGTATGCCTTCCTCTCGGATAATTTTCGCAAGGCTTTCTATAAGGTGAGTATATATAAATACATATGTACATTAGACCACGTCGAAAAAAAGATAAAGAATCCTGCAATGCGACCGAAATAAGACTCAAATTTTAGCATTTCGTATAGTAATAATCCTCCAAGAATCTCACCTCTCTAGGACAATTGCAAGAGGTGCCGCCTCGAGCCTTTAGTTGTTCCAATGAAAAAAAAAAATTTGGTATATACTAGATTTGACCTAAATATGACAAAGCATTCAAAAATAATAATTTAGGAATTTAAATAATCTGAGCCTGCATAATACTTAAATGACGTTTTCATTGATCCTAGAAAATTAGATCGACCTCAAAAGGAAACAACTCATTTTCTTACAGGTAATTTCTATGGGAAAACTTAAGGTTCGAGGCGGCACCTCTTACAATTGTCCTTATTCCGGTCGCATTGCAGGACTTCATATTTTTTTGACGTAGTCTAATGTACGTACGTAAATACCAAATATTTATTCATCCATAAATATTAATTTATTTAAATGCTACCTTTATAGGTTTATACATACATATATATGTATGTTTCTATGTATATGCAGCAGTTAATGTTGTTGCTATTATTGAAATTCAACTCTCACAACTTTCTGAGCGCATAAATTTGTGTAAATAAGTATTTGCATTTCCATTAAAGATATATTTCTGCCATTACTTGATATACTTATTGTCGCAACTTTTCTGAGTATTTTACAAATAATTTTTAAGACTCTTCACTAGGTCAGCATTTACTTTCCTTAAATTGATTGCATCCAATTTTTCTACTATTCCAGCACTTATACTTTTCTATGGCTTTTTATATGTAGATGAACAAAAATATAACAAGTATGCATTTATTTATTGGATACCTTTAAATAGGGCAATATAAAAAGGACTATTAGTATTTTGCAATCATTTATTTATTTATTATTTATTTTTGTCGGCATCAGGCACGAAAACCACGCGTGATCCATTTTTTATAACAAAAAAACCCCGTTATTGTCGTATTTGATGCGCTTATGTATTAATGGCTTGACTATTTTCCATCCTATTTTTAAAATCGGAATCGAACAAGCTTTGAAAAGTGGTTTTATATACATTTAAAATTGTGTATAACAATATATTGTTAGGCTTAGCTCGTTGGGAGTTTTCATCGGTTAAATTTTAGTCTGCTCCTATTTTTCTGCATGTTTTCAACTTTGGCCAAATATTTATGAAAGTTGCCAAAAAAAAAGTGTAAATATTGTGGAAGTTAGGCAATTTAAGCAAAAATACGGCCTTGAATTTATATGTGTTTATGTACCGGACCTTCAGATTTTTTGAGCAGTGTGGCTAAAGAGTTTATCAATATTTACTCAAAATTTACATATACAATGGCTCTTAAGAAAAAAAAATTATTTTTTCCTAAAATTTGAGAAAAATGCGCGTGGAACTGCCCACTTATATCACATATGTATGCATATCTCAGAAACTAATTGTGAATATTTTATTATAACAAGGAGTACACTTACATTTGACACTGACTGTACATACCATGCATTGTTGCTTCGAAACGTGAGTGTGTATGGTATAGATTGAAAAATTTATGATTTCCTAAAAAAAATTCTTTGACTTGCATGAGAAATCTTAAAAATATTGTATTAAATATATTTGTGTAGGGATTAAACGATACCATGTAGGGATCGATACTTTTACTTGGAAGTAATATCGAAAGACAAAAAATCGGATCGAAAGTATCGATACCCACTCATATGGATACTTTGGCTATAAGGGGTATGCCTTGCGAACTAAATAAGTAAAATTTTGGTTTGTTTTCATGTCCTCAGTTAACTATTATCTGGGAGTCCTAAAGTCCAAACAATATTTTTAATTATGAATGGTATCTAATACCATCCAGTTCATCGGAAAATATTACAATAAAATTAATCTCGTTTAAAAGAAATTTTGTCATACAATTGGTACAAAAATTATGAACCAAAGATTTAAATACCTACGATAGTCTCAAAATTGTCCCCTTGTTACTTCACCGGGTAGAATTCTACATAGCGTGGAGAGTACAGAAACAGAATGATACGGATAAAATTTTACTGAAAGAAATTCTTAAAAGCATTGAAAACATTAAAGATTTTCTAGTATCTAGATAAAGCGAACTAGAATAATTTTTTCTATTTGACATCTACTTTTCTCCAGACTGGCGCTTAAACTTTTTGGAATATTTCAGCTTTTTCGAAGATTTTTTTTTTTTTTAAATCAACTCTTGGTACCCTACTCTTTTTCTTCTTTGTTTATATTCATCAATAACAGAGCTGCTAGACTCTCACCAGCTTAAGTATTTTCCGCTGGTCTTTCCTGCGTAGCTATTCTCTTGCATTTTGCTCAAGGTCATCACATGCTAATGCGCGTTAAAGCTGTAGAGTTACTCAGTGAGCTCAAAATCGCGTTGAAACGTCTGTACTGACCACTCATCCAGTTCACTCTACCACTTGAACAGTAGGGCCGTGTATACGTCGCATTACATTGATTTTGGTGAAGCAATTGGAGAGTGAATTCTCTGCACTACATCGACCTTGTCGCATTATCACGGTTTTCGCTGGCAATTATGCAGCCATAAAGAACAAGGCGCTTCATATTTGTTACAACAGTGGAGGAGAAATTGCCGAAGCCAAATTTTCCTTAGTATCGGATTTCGATATTCTTCGATACCCACTCAGTACTTGGTGCAAAAGTAGCGATACCAAAATTAATTGGTTTTGATCGAAAAGTATCGAGTATCTATATTTATATGCTATTAAATAAAAGGCCGTTAGAGAGCGAAAAAACCAAATTTTTTTCCATACAAAGTAAAAAACCGGCAACAAAAAAAGTTTGCACAGTTTGGTTTGACCTTTTTCACTACCTTTTTTCAAAATCTCTTATTTTTCGTTTACAAAATACTCTATAAATAGAGCCAGTTTGAATAGGTACTATTCGATTAAAGCCTATAAGTACATATAAAAGCTTGAATACTTAAGAGAAACAATGATGTTATTCAAGTGAAAGGGGATGTGTGTGTGTGTGAATATATTGACAAACAAAGAAATATTAATATATTCTTTAAAATTAAAAAACGGACTAAACAAGTGTATATGCTTATTGTACATACTCGTACATATATAAATAATATATGGAAAAAGTATCTAAAAGTACATAAAGAGAAATTGACGAGCATTCAAGGTCAAATGCGATTTTATCGATGGAAATTTTTCACTTTTTCCAATTTTCGTTGCTGCAAAAAAGTGTTTATTTTTGATGGAACTAAATACTAATGAATCTAAATACCAAAGATTATGGGAACATTGAACTTTAAATATCAAATTAAAAGCTCTTGCATTCTTTGTAGCACATAGAAATTTGTACTTTGATATAAACGTATGTATATACATATACATATATATGTAGGTATGCACGCGAGTGCGTATGTACAAAATGCTCTTGCCCAATTCGACCATTTGTTCCTCATCATTCGCACAAATAAATCAAAATTGCCAAAATTTTCTGATTGACGCATCACAATCACGAGCTTTTTAAAGGTTTTTAATTGATTTGCGTTTAGCGCTAAATGAAATAATGTGCGAAAAAAATGTTTACTGCAAATAAAGGAAATTGTTCCGTTGTGTTGTCGCTGTTAGGCGCCCAACTGTTCCACACACAGCAGGCGATCCCGCAGCACAGGCGAAGAGAAGCACTAAATAAAAAACAAAAACACAAATGTAATTAACTTTAATAAATTTTGAATCGAAAACATTGTAAACGAAAGAAGTAGCTTGTATTCAGCATTCGTACGGAATTTCTGAACTATCTTGTTTTGATTTTATGAACGATATTTGACTCAAAACAATGACAGTGTATGCTAAAAATACATACATAAATTTGTTGTGTGATACATATCTGTGCTGAAAATAAATAACTACTAAAGTCGACTTAGGAAAACGTTATTATGTCGACTTGCTCAGCAATTTACAAAAACAAAAAACTCTGAAATATATTTAGGCTATTCAAAACCGTATCTTAAAATACGCTGCTCTACTTTTCTATAAAAAAATTAGCTCTTGTGGCTTTCAAATAAGTATTATTCAGAATATAATTTGCTTCATTAAGAGATTTTTGTTTGCTTAATGGCAACTGGTCTATGTATGTACATATGTAAGTATATAAAAGCACGAATTGATATTTTCATAAATCACATTACGAAAAGGTCCCACAAAATTTAGCTGTTTATTGTATGCAGCAAGTTCATTCCATAAGCTCTAGAGAAAGCAGAATATTTAATTACAAGTGATTAACTCAGTGAGAGGGCGGAACCAGAATGAATTTATTTAACCAAAAATTCATTCAAACAAAAATAGTTTGGGTAGGCGTTGAGGCCAATGATAACCATCAGTTACCACCTCTGCATGGTTGTAAGTCAACCCCAACGACCTAAGTGAGGGACCGAATATAACAGTTATTGATGAAAACTGTCATTGAAGAATTCACAATGAAGGAAATGTTCTAAAACTAAGTGATACATACCAATCGATTTCTTTTTTCACCGAGAATAAAGTTTGAAAGTAAATTTTTATTTGTAGAATTCAGAAAAATAACAATTATTTTTGATTTTTATATTATTGGCTTAGATAACAGATATTTAACACTTTTATTTATAAAAGCCATCAATAAAAATCAGTCACCCACTTTAATTTTTTAAGTCACACTCATAAAAGTCTTTATCATCTTTCGCAGTTAATAAGGTGTTGGAGAACCAAAGTTTATTTCGATTTATACAATGACTTTTATAAGTGTGATTTTAAGAATAAAAGTCAGTGACTGATTTATAATGATGACTTTTGTAAATAAAATTCTTCAGTAACTGTTATGTAAGATATATAAAATAAAAATCAAAAATAACTGTTATTTGCAGATAATTTAAATAAAATTAAAAAATAATTGCTATTTTGGCCTTATAAACTAAAAATCAGAAAAAATA